GATACAGGACAATCCACTAGCACTAGGAATGTTGAAAAGAAAAGAAAAAATTGTTTATAAGAAGTATAATGAACATTATTTATCATTTGCGTTTACTTGGAATGGAGATGAAATAGACTCTCAGCCTCAGTGTGTTGTTTGCGGAGAAGTATTATCCAGTCAAAGTATGAAACCATCGTTTCTTAAAAGACATCTTGAATCTAAGCACTCCGCTTTAAAGGATAAATCTGAAGAATATTTTAAGAGGAAATTATTGAAGTTCAAAAATAGTAAACAACTAATAAAAGTTTTTGCTACTTCAAGTGAAAATGCTCTGGATGCTAGATACCTAGTAAGCATAAGAATTGCCAAGACTGGGCAGGCTCACACTATTGGAGAAAACCTTATATTACCAGCAGCTAAAGGTATCGTTTTAACATTATTGAATGCAATATTCAAACAATAAACGTAATAATATTTCGTTATCAAATGATACGAAATTCATGAAATGGCAAATTCCATAAAAGAGACACTTATGCAAAAAATAAAACACAATGAGTATTTGGCATTGCAATTGGACGAAAATACTGATATAACGAACTCTCTGCAATTATTAGTTGACATACGTTTCGAAGAAAATAAGGGAATTGCCGAAGGAAATTAATTTTGTGAATCTCTTCATGATAGAGCAACTGCAAATGAAATTTTCAAAGTAATTGACAATTCTGTGTCTGAGAATGATATTCGCTGGTATAAGTGCATTATCGTATGCAGTGGCGGAGCTCGGGTTTCATAGGAAAGCATTCCGGTGTTATTTCTTAAATAAAGAAAGTCGCACCCGAACCTAAATTGACTCACTGCTTCATTCATCGCGAAGCTTTAGTAGCCAAAACAATCCTCGAAAACCTGAAAATCGTTTTTAATCAAGCTTTGAAAATTACTAAATTTTTAAAAAAACCGAGTTTCAAATTCAAGAATGTTTACGATTTTATGCCAAAAGATGGGCAGTGAACACGAAACGTTTTTGTTACGTTGGTTTGTAGTAAGGTGGTTTTCCAGAGGCAAAGTTTTAAATCGTCTTTTGAATTTCAATCAGAAATCCAAATTTAGCTCTGTGATTCAAAGTTGGAATTGCAAAAATGTTTATTTAGAGAATTATGGTTCCCGCATTTAGCGTATTGAGCTGATATTTTTGAAAAGCTGAATGAATTAAATTTAGAATTACAAAGTGTTAATTTGTTTGTTAGATAAAATAAATACAACGATTAAAAAAACTTGAGTTAGAATTGGATGATATTTTAAGCTTTTTACCACTTTTAGAAAGTTTTCTAAGCAAAAATAATTTGAAACCAAAAGAAGAATTAGCATTCGACATTGAAAATCATTGTTTTTCATTGATAAATTATTTCAACATGTATTTGTTTTGAATTTGGAAAGGACCCATCCAAACTCCCGAGGATCTTATAAAAGGAATCCATTTTGTTCAAATGTACTTGAAATTTTATCTCATGAAGTAGAAGAAACATTAATGGAAATTTCTTGTGATTGAACTGAAGATTTAAAAAATAACACACTTGTTAACGTTTCGCTGAACCGTAAAAACGAATGTAAAGGCATTTTAAATAAAGCTATTAAGATTTTACTGCCATTTTTCACAACCAATATGTGTAAACAAGAATTTTCTTTCAATGTTATATTTGGAAAATCATAACAAAATTAAAAAAGGATCTTAATTTATAGCTAAATTTAAGTGAAATATGACCAGACATAAAGAAATTAATCTTTCTTAAACAAGTCCAAATTTCATACTAAATTTTAGGCCCACCAGCGGCCGAGCGGTAAAGTCGCTGAACACTGGTAGTTCGGTCCGAGGTTCGAATCCCGCGAACGGGCTGGCTGCATGGGTGTTTTCGTGGTTTTCCCCATGTGTAACGTGTATACGATCCAGTTCCCTTAGAAAGGCATCCCTCCTCTTAGGCAGATAGCCCTAGTGTGCTTTGCCATAAATAAATACACACACATACTAAATTTTAGAATTAAAGTATTATAGCGTAAGTTTTGATAATTAAAATGGTAACCAATTTTTAATTTAATATTTTTATGCTTGCGTATTTAATGCAAATAGCCAATAGGTTGTGTAAATGGCAAAATATACTTTTTTTAATATTTCTATTGAGAAACTGAAAAATAATTGTTGTAAAATTCAGTGGTGGAACTAAAATGTTTCAGTTTTTGTGTAGATGGCACTCGTTAGTCAAAAGCTTGAGAATCACTGATATGAGTATCAAGTACAATACTGAACTAGGAAGAGAAGATACATTACATATATGTTTTAAATCAAAGCATAATATAATTTGTCATTAACGAACGGAATTACTTTCTGAAACGTTAAAAAAAACGTGGAGCATTGCAGTTTTTCATATAGTGTTCATGCATTTATTTATTTTGAAACTTCATAAAGATAGTATAGAATTCTATCAAAAATAAACATTTTAGCATATTCAAATCAGTCTGAAGTTTAAAGAGATGATTCTTTGCAGAGAAGATATTTTTTGCTCTTTATGAAATGATTGATTAATGATAAATACTTTTTTAATATTAAACAGCACTTATAAAAATAATTCATTTAGTTATTTATTTTATTTAAATCATCTGAAAATAACCTGGGTCAGAAAGGAATCGCCTGCAGCAAAGGAAAACTGGTTCATCATTTTTCTTGCCATAAAGCTCTTAAATTTCATCTTAGAAAAATGAAAATGTAATAATTTAAATAAAAAGAAAATATGTGTTCAGTGTAAAATATCGGTTATTCTTACTTGAAGGACTAAACAAGTTTTACTTTTTTATTTATTATTTTTGGTCCTGAAGCTAAATATTTGATCATTCTCTTCGCTGTTGACTGTTGATGGTGTTGAAAATTTCTCAGAGAAAAATAGCTTTCTGAAAGAAAATATTTAAAAACAAGTAAAAATACTTTTTTAAATATATCTTATAACGCTTATGGATTATATAACTAGAAGCTTAATATTCCCAATTTTAAACATATAAAAATTAGCACCTTGAATCTTTTCTAAAGTAAACGTTTTAAGTATTCCATTTACATTTGCTTTACAAATAGTTGTGATCTTTAGCTTCGAAACAAAGAATAATTAAATTAAACATTTTGAATTTTTTCAGTATTTTCGAAAACTGAGTTAGTATTTTTGTGTGTTAACACTTCGTTTAAAATTTTTCAATAAGCAAGCCATAAGAACAAAATAAATAAATAAATAAATAAATAAATAAATAAATAAATAAATAAATAACCAAATATTTTGAACCATTTTTTGCAAATCCAAGCAGTAACAAATTTTATAAGGTAAGATATTCGGATTTGCTCCGGATATCTTCATCAATTTACATTCCAAATATAAATAGTAAAGCGAACATTAAAAAAATATTATAACACTTTGTAAACGAAAATATTGATCAACTGAATGTGTCCCGCGCCACACGCATTTTTTCAGCTCGCGTTTTCTAATATAAGTTATTATTTAACTTTTATACTCTTTCATAACTTAAATAAAATAAACAGCAAATAAAATATTTAACTAAAGAGGATGTATTATTTATTCTTAAACAGCAATACTTCTTTGTAATTTGAAAAAGGGCTTAATCGAAGAATCTAATTTTTTAAGAACTTAATTCAGTTATATTTATAATTTTTTTTTCCACGCCTCCAAGAAGTTTAGCTTGTGATGAAATTGTGTCCGATGTAAATAAACGATGTTTCCAGTTGATAATAAAAAAAGAGCTTTAATTTTTCTTAGATGTAATAAAATGCGTTATTGAATGCAGCAAAAAATTCATTTTAGCTGAAGTTCTTAATAATGTTTTGCAACATTACTAACTAAAAACTATTAACCAACATTTTTATACAATGAGCGTCATTAATGAACTAGTTTGTTAACTAATTTTCTAACTCTATTTCTTGTATGCACTATCCTTTTAGCATTAAAATAAATTACTTTTCATAAATAATTAAATTTCGGGGGTATGAAGAATAAATTTTTAATAAAAATTAATTAAATTCTGTCGATATTAAAAGTTATAATGAAGTTATGTAGTAACACATAGACTGTAGTAAGATTTTCATATTTATATTCTTTTATTTTTTTCAGACGGTAATATATAATTGTTAATATTTTGATTTATTTGTTTGTTTACCGTTTTACATTCAAAAAGAAATAAACACCGAAGCTTTATTCACTTATAATTTAGTTTATGAGTTAGCAATAATAGTATTATTGTTGTTTAAATAGAAAATTTAAATATTTTATGTCCTAATTAAAAAAATAGATACTGGTAAATTACTTTTGAGGTGTTATGCATTTCAAACGGCATCTTTTATCAATTAATTAATTTGCTGATTTTTAAAGTTCATTCTAAAATATCGTTCTGTGTCTTTATGTTTAAGATAAAATTACATGTTCAAAATAATGTTTTGGTTCAAAGATGATGATCTCACATTTAACACTACACTACATTATTGAAGACGTTCGAAAATGGCATGAAAGGTACTTAAGTCGTAAATATAATATTCTGATATAAAACCAAGTAAACATACAGTCTTATTGTCTGTTTCAAGAAATAAAGGGTAAAAATCTTAATATTTATTTCCTTAATATTACTGTGTATTTATGACATTTGTGTAAACTTTATCTGGTTTTAAACCCAATATTAGAATACTAGTTTAATTAGAGCATATTATGGATGTATAGAAAAAGGGTTCTGAGCGAAAAAATAGTTTTGTTTTATAATACGAAAAGTTCTTTAACACGAAATCAACTTCTGAATGATTCTCCTCTTCATCATTGTTCAGCTCTCTAATGTTCGCTGTCAACGCGCTAGAATTTGTTTCGAATTTCCCTCCGCGCCAAAAAGTAAAGTTGGCGTCATGACGCCACCGACAGGAACTAAGCTCCCTTGCGACCTGGCAACCCCAGAAGTTTAGAATCGCGGTGTTTTTTCTACCCGTTTGATGGTGCTCGTGGTACATAATATGATCGTGGAACTGAAGACTTCGATGGTAGCCGATGAAGAACTAGTTGCCATCAAGACGAGATCAAGCGCAGAAGTCACTCCTTTTCCCAAGTGTGGTTTTTCTTCTCGTCAACTTCCCGCTCAAGAGCATTGAACGCACTGGACGTTTGGGATTTACGGTAGCGCTGGACAAAGCGAGCAATGACCAGGTACGTCTGTTCAGTGAGATACTCTGTTTGTGATTAGTACTAAGGGTTACGAAAATGGCATAGAAACTTTTCTTGGTGGAATTTCCATTTGATCAGCTTTGAACTTGAAATATTAATTACGTTTTAAATTAGGAAGAATATGAATTCATCTCCATATACCATTACAACTTAAAAAAGAACTGTGTGCTTACATATGATCTATTTCCCCTTGCATCTGAAATTTTGCAATTGCACATTTATTTACAAGTGAACAGGAATTAAGAAAGTTTAATAAAAATTTATTTGTATAAATTGTGATTTAAAAGCGCAGGGGACAAGTGTTATTCTCTATATACGATAAACAATTCCTTCATAATAAATGAAAATTCCTTTTGAGGCGCTGGCAATAATTCCTTGAGACTAAAAATATCTTCACAAAATCAAACATATTTGCAAAATTAATTATATAACTATTCTAGAGGGAGTTTACAATAATAACAAGAAGCTCTTATAGAATTATAGCTAGCTTATATTCAGTCATATTGTTGAAGAATTTTTAAGCACTTAATAATCATGCCATTTTGACTTTTGAAAGTTTAACCTCAATATTGTAAATTTCTGAAAGTTTAAATGATAATTACGAGAAACTACTAATAACAAAATCCTTACTAATTAAAATTCAATTAAATAACTAAATTCTATAAATATTATTAGTCAAAGATGAAATTTTAGGAAATAATTGGTATTAGTTACAGGAGGCATATAATAACTGGTTCATTATGAATTACTTCTAGACACCTAGCTTAGTATTAATACCTAGAAAACTTGATTACTCACAGAAAAAATGATCAGTTTTTCTGTTATTAATAAGAGATGCAATTTAATAGAATAATAGTGATATGCATATGAATTTTTTCCTGTATTCTTTTAAGTTAAGTGATTCAAAAATTAACTTCGAGTTAATTTTTTTAATTTTGTAAAATATAGTAACTTTGTAAAGATATGAAAACGATATTTGTCTATTTCAAAATTCTCTTTATAACATTTTCATTATTTAAAAAACAAGTCTATTCAACTCTTTTTTTAAATTCTTCTTATAGCATAAAACTGAATTGATTTAATATATATAATGAATAATTTCAAATATTCGTATTACATGGTACAGAAAAAATATATCGTTCACCAAAAGAAGAAAAAGTACTTAAAAATGACTCAATTTTTAAAATACATAACGTAATTTTTCCTCAAAAACAATTTGATAACTGAAAATAATTCGACATTAATCTAATAATTTTATATCCTTAGATGCTTTTTTTAAATATTAAGTACTTTAGTTAAGTTTTTGCAATTTTAAATTATGTAAATCGTAGAATGAAATCAGTTTGAAGCAAAAGTTATTATTTCGTTAATACTGGGCAGAAAAAACATCATTTCTTTAGTACCCATAAACCATTATAAAATCCCACTATTAAGTTCCGCCTTTTACAAGGATTATTACTATTATCAACTATGATCTAAAAAAATTCAGGAATATTTTTGACACGCGTATTTTTTTACAAAAGTTATTATTTCGTTAATACTGGGCAGAAAAAACATCATTACTTTAGTACCCATAAACCATTATAAAATCCCTTTTATTAAGTTCCGCCTTTTACAAGGATTATTACTATTATCAACTATGATCTAAAAAAATTCAGGAATATTTTTGACACGTGTATTTTTTTAAAAGAAAGGAAAAAAAGAGAAAAAGAAAGGATCGTTCTTTATCTAAAAATTATTAGTTATTTCCAATAAAATGTAGTTAGCCTTACATGCTCTTTCTTAACTAGTTTAAATTTATGTATTATTTTACTATAAATGGGGATGAGGACTAAGCTTGATATACAATATTACCAGCAATTCCAAGAATTACCTTAAAAATGAAATAAAATGGACAATTTTCTGTACATTCACTGCAAAAATTCCGAACATAATTTCAGCAACCGGGCATTGTTTAAAATTATTTTCCTTAAAATTTAATTATCTTCCAAACAAAATTTATTGACAGATTTCCTATCAAAATTATTTTCGTTAAAATTTATTCAGAATGCAATATTTATGCGAAATTTTATTTTTATTCAGAATGCAATTTACTGAAAGATTTCTTTCAAAATAATTTTCAATTTATTTTCATTTTCAAAATTATTTTTATTAAAATTTATTTTTGTTCTAAGGTGTTTACTGACAGATTACGTTGGCTTCTTCTTACATTTCTAGTATTTTTATGTAGCTACATTAGTTCTAATAATTTCGATAATATTTAATAACCATTCAAATTCTTTACTCAAGCACTAACCTGTCACATAAAACTGCTTCTAAAAATTCATAAAGCAATTAAAAAATTCTAAATTGTTTTGGCAACCGAGGAACAACTCCATTTTTCTCCCATGTGATATTTTTATTGCAGACGAAAGCTATAAAATTCACCAAAATAAAAAAGCGTTATTTTGCTTTTGTTTTGTCTCGAGGTAGAAGACTTCACGTGATAAAAAAATGTAATTCTGAATTCCCAGTGATGCTTAGTAGAATATCATGCTTGTTTATCATATATAATAGACTCTGTGAAGATTTATAGTTTATTGAAAGTCGTTCCTTCTCCCTATTTTAATGTAACGTTAGTATTTATTATAAAATTCGTTGCGTTATGGAATATTTTTAGCCCAAAAAGGAAGTTAGTCCCAAATGGGAGATTAGTCTCAAAACGGCATTTTGCTTGAATCACCTTAAATCGCGTATCAGTTTTCAAATTGTTGCCACCAAATATCATCGCCTTGTATTATATTTAAAGAAATTAAATAATGAAGAATCTGCATGAATGTATACCAACACTTAACGCTAGATCGGGAATTCTAAACGTGTACTGCTATGTTGCTTTTATAATTTTTGTAGAGTGTAAAAAACCTTAACAATCCCTTTTGGGCAACCGTTAAAATCTGAAACATTTCAGACTTTTCTTTATTTTTTAAAAAATTTACTAGTATATTTTCTATTATTAGCAAAAAGGTATCAGTAGCAATATTGGGAATTTATATGTAAGAATGCAGTAACTTTCTTATAGATGCATAGATTTTTTTAATCCAGAATTTTTCGAAAATTACAGTGGATAAAATCTAATTTTAATAATAATGAGTGTAATTTCAGATGTTAAAAACTGAAGTCATACAAAAAAAGTTCACGAATAAAAGTAAATAATACTCAAAAAATGTAATATAATATTAATATATTTATTCAGTTGTTACTGCTATTTAAATAGAAATATGCAATAAGCACTTTTTAATTATATCCTACCTATAAAATCTGAAATTAACAGAATATTTTTTGATGTTCTGCATGTATCAGATGATCAGAAATCCATTGCAGAATAATTAGGTTACATAGATAGTTTCCTATTTAAGTACTACCAAGAAACCTATTCAGTTACGTAAACAGTTGCATTATATTGCAATAAACTTCGTTAATACCATTTCATAGCAAATCAAATCTCGATATATAATTTATATTCTATCTATTAGATGTGAAAGTAATAACTAGGAATAGTTTGGAAGATAATCTTTAATAATGTATCAGTTCGCCTAATAATACGTAGGCACATGAATGAATAGAATTATTACTTTCCAATCAATTCTTGTAATAGCACATGAATATTTATGGTCTGATTAGTCTTAAATTGCATTCTTTCAGATCGATGATACTCAGATCTTTATTAGCATTTTGAAATCCGCCCTTTGCGAAGCCTATTAGCTAACTAGAGCTTTTAAAGACTGATTCTTGAATAACAGGAACCAGTTTATTGAAATATTTATTCCAAATGTTTATTACAAAGTAATATCGATAGCTTTTAATAACCTCTTATGCGCTTATGACTGAGTAGTTAGAACTATGCAGATATTATATATGATATAAAAATAAAAATTCCTGCCATCTTTATCAAAACAAGTAAAATAAAAAAAAAAAATTTCAATTTTTCAAAAGTCAATTCCTACTAAGGTCAAGAAAGAAAAATTTTTAAAATACAAAAATAATAATAATAATAATAATAATATAATAATAATAATAATAATAAATAAATAAATAATAGAAAAATTTTTTTGTTTATTTTTAATAGGTGAAAAAACTGTATTAACATCAAGTGTCATCCACTACAAGTTTAAAAAAATGTATTTGAACGTGAGTGGATGAATAAAAAGCAGTTTATTAACGCTTGAAAATTAATTAATTAATAACTAATTAAATAGAAAAATTTAAAGTCATTTTCCAGTTAGGTCAACAAAAAAAATCTTGAAAATACAAAAAAAAAAAAATTAATTAAAAATTTAAAGAAATTTCAATATGTGAACAAACTTTATTAACATCAAGTGTCATTCACTACAAGTTTAAAGAAATGTATTTGAACTTGATGAATAAAAAGTATTTTATTAACGATTGAAAATTTGAACAAGATGTACAAGATGTAGGGAGAATGTGAGCTAATACTGGGAATTTAATAAACATTCCCCCCCCCCAAATGGCGGGCCCTGAGCTGCCTTCGTCTTGGCCACAACCAATTGGTGGTCATTTTATTTTGGAGGTACCTAAAAGGTGGGCCACCTTTGCTTTCTATATAGGGATGGACAGTTACAACCATGCCTTCTCCGGAATTCGAGCCCGGGCCCTGTGCTATCGCAGTCGGCTCCCTTAACCACTATACCATGGGCAGCATAAACCGAAATATAGAAAAAGCAATAATAAAAAACAAATAAAAACCCTTTCATTCATTCAAAAATCTGTAAATTACAAACGAAGAAAGCTGCTTTCGTTTTAAAATACCAAAAACAAATAATTTTTCACCTGTGATCGTTCCCTACTCTTATACTTCTATACCAACCAAACGAGATTTATTCAAGTAAATTCAAGCCTTTGAATTATGGGCAAAATTAAGGAGGGCATCGGGAGATTCAAATAGAACAAGATAATCGAATGAGGCTATGGACAGTCGGGGGACT